GACACTCTCAAGTAAAAGCACAGATAGGTTTTAATTTAATAAGCAAAATAAGATCACTTAATAAATTTTTTTTAAAAAAGAGCATTACATTATGATCTGTTTTGATACATCTAGCAAACAAAGCAAACTAACTCCACTCCCCACTTTTATTCCTAACAGCAAAAAGAATGTTGCCTTTTTTTGACTCCAGATTAGAATCCAAAATCAGCAATGTATTCCAGGAACATTCATTTATCAGGTTTAGAGAGGTTTTTATCATCTTTGGACTGTTTTAGCTCTTCTTCAAATCTTATTTTGTTTTCCTCTGTTACTCCTAGAATGGCTTCAGTGTCATCAATGGCCGTCTATAAATGAACAATAAAAATAATATTCATTACTTAAAGACCTCTTACAACTCTTTCCCCCATCCCAATTATTTGCTCCGTTTTGGAATTGAGTATAATTTAGACCAGTTAAACTCAAGGCGTGTTTTGCCAACTAACACCCATCTACAAATTGTGTCATCAGTCCTGAAATGAGTAAAAAAATTGAGAGTAAGAACTTGGAAACCTTTATAGAAATTTTTATGGCTGCTAAATCAAATGAAAAAAATGGGCTTCTATTTTATACGTCTTTAATTTTTTCATTTCATTTTTCTAGTAATTCATTTTTGTTGTATTTTACAAAAGTACTGATCCATGATAGGTTGGAAAAAAACAAAACTTCACCACAGATAATTTGAGAAGCACTGATCTAGTCATCCTAAAATGAGGGCTGATGGGAGTATTGACTTCCATTGGTTTTTCCATTAGGTAGAAAAATGGCACTTTTCTCTTTTATTTTATTTAGCTATTTTTTTATTGAGGTACTCTTCACATACCTTAAAGTGAAAACCCTTACAAAGAGTTCAACTCAGTGGTTTTTAGTATATTCACAAGAAACCGTCATTACTATGTAATTCCAGAACATTTTCATCACCCCAGATAGAAACTCTATGCCCATTAGCTGCCTTTCCTTATTTTCTCCCTCCCCTAACTCCTGACAACTGCTAATCTACTCTCTGTCTCTATGGATTTGCCTACTCTGGACATTTAATATAAACGGAATCATACAATATGTGGCCTTTTGTGTCTGGCCTCCTTCACTTAACATAATGTTTTCAAGGTTCATTTGTATTGTAGCATGGATCAGAACTACATTTCCTTTTTATGTCTGAATAATATTCCATTTTATCTATTATCTATTTTTACTTTGGTTGTTTACACTTTAGGTATCATGTCTAAGAAGGCGTTGCTAGCTACAAGGTCATGAAGATTTATTTATATCTGTGTTTTCTTCTAAGAGTTTTATAGTTGTGGCTCTTACATTTAGGTCTTTGATCCATTTTTATTTAGTTTTTATATATGCTGTAGAGTAGAGGTACAACTTCATTCACTTGTATGGGGATATTTGTTTTCTCCAGCACCATTTGTTAAAAAGACAATTTTTTTTCCCATCAAATTGTTTTGGCACTCTTGTTGAAAATCAATTGACTATAAATGTATGGGTTATTTTGGACTCTCAATTTTATTCCATTGATCTATGTCTATTCTTATGCCAGTACCACACTGTCTTGATTACTGTAGTTTTGTAGTTAAGTTTCATTTATTTATTTTTTTAAAGATTTTATTTATTTCTTTTAGAGATAGAGAGACAGAGGGAGAGCACGAGCCAGAGGGAGGAGCAGAGGGAGAGGGATAAGCAGACTCTGTGCCGTGTGTGGAGCCCGACACAGGGCTCAAACCCACGACCCTGAGATCCTGACCTGAGACGAAATCAAGATCAGATGCTTAACTGACTGAGCCACCCAGACACCCCATTGTAGTTAAGTTTTAAAGTTGAGAAGCATAATTCCTCTTTGTTCTTCTTTTTCAATATTATTTTGCTTATTCTGGATCCTTTGCATTTCCACAGGAGTTATAGGATCATCTTGTAAATTTCTGCAATAAAGCCAGCTGGGATGCTGATAGGAATTGGTGTTGAATCCATAGATCAATCTGGGGAGTATTATTGCCATCTAACAATATTAAGTCTTTCACTCCATTTATTTAGATCTTCTTTCTTTTATGATGGACAGATCTTGTACTTCTGTTAAATTTATTCCTAAGTATTTTTATTCTTTTTGATGCTATTGTAAATGGAATTTTTAAAAACATTTAAAAAATATAAATTTTAAATTTTAAAAATTATTTTTTTTAAGATTTTATTTACTTAGAGAGAGAGCATGAGAGAAAGCGTGAGAGAGAGCAAGAGCACAAGCAGGGGGGAGGGGCAGAGGGAGAAGCAGACCCCTCTCTGAGCAGGGAGCACAACGTGGGACTCCATCCCAGGACCCTGGGATCATGACCTGAGCCGAAGGCAGACGCTTAACTGACTGAGCCACCCAGGTGCCCCCCAACAATTTATTTTTGGATCGTTCATTGCTAGTGTATAGAAATATGATGTTTCTATATTGATGTTGGGTCTTGCAACCTTTCTCAACTCGTTTATTAGCTCTAACAGGTTGTTTCTGGGTTCTTTAGGATTTCCTAAATACAACATCATGTTATTTGTGAATAGAGATAGTTTTACTTCTTTCTTCCCAATCTGGATGCCTTTTTATTTCTTTTTCTTGCTGAATTGCTCTGGCTAGAACCTCTAGTACAGTGATGAATAGAAGCGGTGAGAGCAGACATCCTTGTCTTGCTCCCGATCTTAGGTGGAAAGCTTTCAGTCTTGCACCATGAACTATGATGTTAGCTATGGGTTTTTGTTAATGCCCTTAACAGGTTGAGGAAGTTCCCTTCTATTCCTAGGTTGAGTGTGTTTAGGAAATGGTGTTAGATTTTGTTAAATGCTTTATCTGCACTACCTTCCATTTTTATTCAGTCTTCGTAAATCCTTCTTTACAAATTGAAAATACTTACTAGAATGTCACTAGGGTGGTAGACAGAAAATATTACTAAAAATGAATCTAGAGGCGCCTGGGTGGACATAATTCAGTCCATAGCACCATTTGATTCTGGTTATTAGTTATATTTGGATAGACTAAACTGATCATGTGCATATAGCTCAGAATTTTGCACATCGCAGTAACTGATGAAATTATGCTAGCTGACAGTAACTTAGAATATAAATGAAGAGATAGATCCTTTAGGACCAGTGAAAATCAATGCAGCACTGGGCCTATTTTTCATTGAGTCTGCTTAGTCCTGTTGTAGGAAAAGCAATGGTCATTCTTCCAACTCATAAAATCACATTGAAGAGGAAAGCATTATCATTATTATTACTGTTACTAGAGAGACCAGGCCCTAGTACAAGGAAGATACATTCAAAATTTACATTTTTTACAACAGCTTTTGTTGGGCTTTCCAATTAAGAGAAAGATCACATGCGGTTCCATTTGAGTCCTTTGAGTTACTTGACCTGTTCAAACATGATGAAGGCCCATGCTGGGAATCAGATGCAGATTTTGGTGATCAATACCAAGTGTTCACAAAAACAGATGCAATGATCAATGGAACAGAATAGAAAACCCAGAAATGGACCCACAGCTATATGGTCATCTAATCTTCAACAAAGCAGGAAAGAATATCCAATGGGAAAAAGACAATCTCTCCAACAAATGGTGTTGGGAATACTGGACAGCAATATGCAGAAGAATGAAACTGGACCACTTTCTTACACCATACACAAAAATAAATCCAAAATGGATGAAAGGCCTAAATGTGAGACAGGAAACCATCAGAATCCTAGAGGAGAACACAGGTAGCAACCTCTTTGACCTCAGCCGTAGCAGCATCTTCCTAGACATGTCATCAGAGGCAAGGGAAACAAAAGCAAAAACGAACTATTGGGACTTCATCAAGATAAAAAGCTTCTGCACAGTGAAGGAAACAATCAACAAAAGTAAAAGACAACCTATGGAATGGGAGAAGATAGTTACAAATGACATATCTGATAAAGGGGTAGTATCCAAAATCTATAAAGAACTTGTCAAACCCAACACCCCAAAAAAGAAATAATCCAGTTAAGAAATGAGCAGAAGACATGAACAGACATTTTTCCAAAGAAAACATCCAGATGGCCAACAGACACATGAAAAGATGTTCAACATCACTCATCATCAGGGAAATACAAATCAAAACCACAATGAGATTCCACCTCACACCTGTTAGAATGGCTAAAATTAACAACACAGGAAACAACAGATGTTGGTGAGGATGGGGAACCCTCTAACACTGTTGATGGGAATGCAAACTGGTGCAGCCACCCTGGAAAATAGTATGGAGTTTCCTCAGAAAGTTAAAAGAGAACTACTCTGTGATCCAGCAATTGTACTACTAGGTGTTTACCCAAAGGATATAAAAATACTGATTTAAAGGGACATATGCACCCTGATGTTTATAGCAGCATTATCAACAATAGCCAAACTATGGAAAGAGCCCAGATATCCATCAACAGATGAATGGATAAAGAAGATGTGGTTTATATATATACAATGGAATATTACTCAGCCATCAAAAAGAAATCTTGCCATTTGTAATGACGTGGTTGGAGCTAGAGTGTATTATGCTAAGTGAAATAAGTCAGAGACAAATACCATAAGATTTCACTCATATGTGGAATTTAAGAAACAAGATAGATGAACATATGGGAAGGGGCACAAAAAAGAGAGAGGGAGAGAGGGAAGCAAACCATAAGAGACTCTTAACCGATAGAGAACAAACTGAAGGTCGACGGAGGGAGGTGGGTGGGGGATGGGCTAGATGAGTGATGGGTATTAAGGAGGGCACTTGTGTGATGAGCACTGGGTGTTATATGTAAGTGATGAATCAATAAATTCTATACCTGAAACCAATTTTACACTATATGTTAACTAGCTAGAATTTAAATAAAAAATTGAAATTAAAAAAATACCAATGTTCATCTCTGGCCTGGGTTTCAAAAACTCTTGTGTGGATCTTGCTCCTGTTTTCTTGCTCTTGTTCATATTTCTACAGTTTGGAGACTTCTGATCAATTACATACAACTGGCTTTCATGGACCAACATCTTTAAAGGCCATTTGGAAGCTTCAAACAGGTTAGTGATAAAATTTCTGCCCCACTTTGGAGAAACAGGGTGGGGTACATGGCCCATGTATATGCTGAGGGCTTTTTCTGTTTCTCTCTACACACATTATCCTTCCTGGGGCCTCAGAACTCCTCTGGTTCTAGAAACGAGGCTTCCCCAGGAATCCTTGGCCAGACACTGCATTATCTGAAATGTAAGTAGGTTACATTCAGGATTTTTGGTGGTGACAGTCTCTGTTTTGGTTTCATTGTGACACTTCAGCTTCACCTCTGATCTCAGAGAGCCGTGTTGTCTTGTAAACTGGGTTTGAAAATGGCAGCAACTTAAAACAAGTCTACTATATTTCAAAGAAAAAATTTCAAACTATTAAATTTAACTAACAGGTTCAGTGGGAACCTTATAATATTGACCCTGTACATTATAAGATATGTACTGCTTCACAATTAAAAAAAAATGGTTTAGCACTTGTTTACAATACAGCATGAGGTATTTTCAGTCCTTGTATAGAAATTAACCAGAATCGTTAGTTAATTAACACCTCACCTTAAAATTGGTCTCGCCTTGCATATTAGGTGCTGATATTTCTTGATGGATGATGAAGAGATTTCGAGCAAAGGTCATGAGGACCCCCTGGAGATCTTCACCGATTGTTCTGTTAATGATATCCAAACAAATGAGTTTACCAACGATTCCCCTCACATGCTTAAAAACAATCACCCTCTCATTTGTGCCTGTCTGGTGGTGGAATTTAATGAGTATTTTCAATCTCACAAGGTGGCAATCTTCAGGGAGATATGAAAGATGAGGCTCCATTTTAACTTGTCAACAAAGAGGATTTGTTTAATAAATATTTTTTATTAATCAACTTAGCAGAATATAAGAATAGCTTCAGTCATTCCTAGCAAAAGGCTACCACTGAGCTAGGACGATAGTATTAGCTTATTTAAAAAATTGTTGAAATCAGCTTATAAGAGAATTGTTGCTAAATATAATTCATACCTAACAATTTTCTTGCCTACAGAAATATTTGCACCTCGGTATTCTGGAGACTGGGGCTTATTTTCTATTTCATGTATACAAGCAGTTCCTGTTATTTATGAGTATGCTCCATCCATGTTCCTAGGAGAATGTGTCCCATTCCTGAACAGCCAGCTTTATAAAGCTTTATAAAGCTGAACACACACTTGAAGGTTTCAGAGACAACACTGTGGCCAGTGAACATTCCCGAACAACAGATTGTTGTAAGTTTTAGCTTTGCAAAACTTTGCAAAACTGCAGGGTTTATCTTCTAGTTATTTTGTGAACTTTCTGTATCAAAGGAGAAAAAATGGATTAAATGAATGGATTGATTTTTAAGAATTGTTCTGTCTTGAGGGTATGAAACTAAAGAGCTGCCTCTTAAGGTAACTGCAAAGAACTTTGGGTTACTTCCTTCCCTGTTGTTGCCTGTAAAATAAGTCATTTTGGAGTGTAAGGCTTAAATGCTTTTGGAATGGCTGCCTTCCAGCCTGATTGGGCTTTCCCATAGGTCAGGCTGGGAGCAGAAAGCTTCCCAGGCCCCAGGCAGGAGACTGTTTGTCCTGCCACTGGCAGTGTGACTTTGGGGAGAAAGCTACTTAAGCTCTCTGGGTTCTTCATTACTTTTTTTCTGAAATGAAGGGATTGGATTGGATTAATGTTTCCAAACTTTTGGAGTTACAGTCCCCAGTCCAAGGACTGCCCACCCTTACTTCTCATAGTTACTGACATTAGTATCTATTGCCTCTTTTAAGAGAATAATAGCCAAAGGCAACTTCAGTCAATAATTTTTAAAAGTGATTTGTACTTTATTGCCACATAATCAATATGTCAGTATGTATTGGACCCTGGTGCTTTTTTTTTTCCCCTTAAAGATTTTATTTATTTATTTATTTATTTATTTATTTATTTATTTATTTATTTATTTAACAGAGAGAGCCAGAGAGTACAAGCAGGGGGAGTGGCAGAGGGAGAAGGAGAAGCAGGCTCTCACCTGAGCAAGGAGCCCAATGTGGGGCTTAATTCCAGGACCCCAGGATCAGACCTGAGCTGAAGATAGTAGCTTAACCAACTGAGCCACCCAGGTGCCCTAGACCCTGGTGCTTCTTAAAACAGCAGATTCCTAGGGTCTACCTCAGATCAACAAAATCAGATTCTTTGGGTTTGGGATCCAGGAATGTGTAGTTTCACTGAAATCCTCAGTTGATTCATATGTGTGTGTGTGTGTGTGTGTGTGTGTGTGTGTATAAATGAATCCACCACCATATGTGTGTATATATATATATGATTGAGGCCCATACTTAAAAAAATTAGTGTGTTTGTGTGTGTGTGTATGATCCTGGGTCCATACATGGATTCATGCCCTCCTTGTCATCTCTCCTCAGCTTCCTGGGGTCCATGGTCCCCAGGTTGTGAACCAAGGCTGGATGGACTCTAAGTCCTCTACCCTATAAATTCATTTCTAGAATTTCCTTCATTTTTCCTTCCTTGAAATTTTTTCCTGAATTCTGCTAGTCCCAGAAATATGCCAGTATAAATGGAGTCAGTATGAAGTGATCCTGGCAAAGCCGAACCACGGAATTCTGGTCTGTAAGGTCAGCCCTCTTGGAGCCCTCCCCTTTGCTGAAGAGGTAGCTGACTAACATCTTCACCTGATGTGAACTGATTGTAACAAAGCCAAACAAAGCCCAGCCAGCTCATGAAAAGCCTCTCCTTAAAGCTCCAGAGAAAACCAACACAAACAACACAAAGAAGAAAAGTTTATATTAGCTCATCTTTTCTCTTTCAATATGAATTCTAGAAAACAAAGACTCTGTCTGGTCATTGTCTATTAAATCATCTGTTCTCAACCTCCATGTCCACGTGTTAGTGCAATTCCTGATGTACTAACTGTAATTCCACCCGTTTATCGCACAGTCAAGAAAGTACAGCTGCATGCAAGTAAGAATTTTGGGGATAATCCCGAATCCTACCTAATACTCAGAAGAAGTAAATTAATAAAGTTGGTACAAACTTGCACAGGTAGTGATGCAGTTCACAGAAGGATGAGAATCTCTTCCATAATAGGGTTCCCTACATAAGGTAGCCATATGGTATTGGAAAAGCACACCAGATTCAGGGTCCAGAGACACAAGCTGCTGTGTGATACTGGTAAACCACATCCCTGCTTGAAGACCCAGTTTCCTTTCTACACCATGAGAGTCTGTTAATCCTCAGGGTCCTTCCTTGCTTCAACATTCTCTGGTTCTGTGGCTGCAGGAAGGGATGAGAAGGATGATATAGGAAATAGTAGACAAGGCTCTAGAGTCTTCAAGAGACCCATGTCAATCAACAGTGCCCTTTCTGTAGGATACGTGAGTAGCAGTACCATCTAGAAGGTACACCATTAGGAGTATTGCCACCAGCAAAGCTAGCCTGCGGGTCAAGGCATTCCTGCTTCAAATCTCAGGAGCAGGATTAAGGATGGTTGGGTGAGCTCCTCTTTGTCACCAGTCTAATTATTCATTCTGTAGGCTTCTGCATCAAACCGACTTGGCTGCTCCATCAGTTTGATGATTAGGGAGTTACTTTTTCACATAAGTCTCAGAAGTCTCCTAAATTCCCTGATGTTGTCTTCTTGCCTGTCTCCTCTGTGCCCAAGTACCCACTTGGATAAGTCTTCCTGTGGCCCCTACTGTGGGAAATCGGCCTCTGCCCTGTTAACATTAATTATCCCTGTCTCACCTGTCAGTTCTAGGACACAAATTCTTCTCCTGAAAGTCAGCCTCTGCTGGGTTCTGCTTCATGCCGACAGGCTTTCTTCGTGCCATCCCCTTGCTGGCCTGGGTCTGTAAAAGCAGCCTCTTCTTTGAGCTCCTATAGTTGTGCTCCCCACAACTAACTCTCTGGATATCCTTTCACTCTTTGTAATTGACCTTTCCTGATGCTGTGAGCTGGTTGCTCCTTGGGATGATCTCCTGGCACCTGAACTTCCTGGGTATGTGGTTCCCTGGCTGCTCTTGTCCCTCCACCTGAAGGGTCCTGTCCCTCTCAGCCTGATTCCAAGCACATGAGGGGTTGTGTCTTTCCAGTCCTGGCCCAGCTTGTTCTTTGCAGTTTACCTTTCATGCCAGCCAGTACTGGTAAGGTAGGGTTCATGTTTCTGTGTTCTCATTTCTGGTTCTTGTACTTAACTAACCCATCTGTCTGAATTCCTGGGCTTAGACATGTACTTGGACCTGGAACTTTACCTGCTTAATTAGACTCTTAATTCTGGAAAATACAAAGTTCTTATCCCCCAGCTTGCCAACTTTAAATCCACTGACTGCTTGGTTCTCCCAGTCTCGGTAACTGCCTGGTGGCCTATGTCCTGCCACAGCCCTGGGCATATTAACTCATTTACTTATTTACTGACTGTCCACCCACCACCACATCAGCTTCATGAGAGCAGGGACTTGTCTTTTGGTTCAGTGCTATATGCCTAACACTTAGAACTGTTCCTGGCACACTGATAAAATGCTTTTGAATTTTCTGATAGTGAGGGTAGGGCAGGGAGGGGGTTGAGGGATAGAACATCACTGGGAAGCAAAGGGTAGCTCATTCCCTGCACATGCACAGAGGTGTCCCCGGCTCTATTCTCCTCCTGGATGTGAATATCCAGGCAGAGAAGATGAATGTGTACTTGTTGGGGTGCTCTGTCTCATTCCTGCTGCTCTCCTGGCAGTATAAAAAAAGAGTGGGGAAGAGAGCCTAAAATAAGCAGTGAAGGGACTCTTCTGACATAACCCAGTAAATTTTACATGTTTATGGGCTCTTGGGGAAAGGTGGGTACTGGAGGGGATGACTCAGCCAACCAGCTCTCCACCCAAGTGAAGAGAAGCATTTAAGACTGTAAACACTAGATTAAAGTGTTAGCCACATTAGGGCTACAAAGGGGGAAGAAACCAAAACATTTGCATGAGTTCAAAGGGATGGATGAGGCTGAATATGACTGCACTGAGGATGGCCTGTTGTAACAGACAATGCTGTGGTAAAACAAAGGACGGCACTTTGGAAAGGGGAGTTGAGACCTGTCCTGTGCATATCTTTGCCCGTTTCAGTGTGCAGCTCTTGGGACCAGTTTCTAGGGGACTGAGCACCTAGGGGGAACTGAGGCTGCTCAGGACATTGATGCTTAGTAGAGGAATTGGCTCTTATTTGGTGTTTCATGAGACCAGATCTTAGTGTGTATAATCCTTTCAATGTGAGGCCGCAGTGTCTACACTAGTGTGGAAGTCAGAAGGACGAGAAATACAGGGCAGAAACGGTTTCCCAGTAAGTTAAGATAATTTAAAGATGTCTAACGGCCATATTCCAAGATATGAAATAAGATTATGTTTCTAAAGTATGAATCCTAGATCAGAAGACAAATTTGCTAGCTCTCCAGATTATGCTGGGGAGAAATTTGCAGGAAATAGGAAACAGAGCAGCCTCCTGAGTGCTGCTAGCAGGACTCTTCTTAGCATACATGCATCAGGGCTGAAATTGGAGCTGAGGAGGAGCTATAGACCCTGCCTTTTGGGGGAGCATCTTGCCAAGTCACCAGAGCACTTTTCTAAGCATGCCAGAATGACAACTGCCCTTCTACAATATGGATGTTGGAGCTGGTTCCTCCTCAGATTTATTGTGCCTTGTATGTGTATGTGTTTGGGTGTAGTATGTTGTTGGAGCTAGCCTCTTTCCCATCAATTTTGGATAATTAATCAGTTATATTTATGAACTCCCACTGACACATCTAAAGTCATTTTATGAAATACTAAAAATCTAAATAAAACAAGATAGACTTCCAATAAATCAGGATGCTGATTAAAATGCAAGAGAAGCATCATTCTTATTGGTTGTTATAGTCTATTTTTGTAGCTTATCGCATCTCATAGATGCACTTCATACTCACAACATTCCCAACTTGTCTCTCTTCAGGTGTTCATATAATATAAAAATAGTTCCTTGTCTGTCCTAGAAAATTTGAATGGGGAGAAAAGAAATAGCATATTATCTTAGAAGCAAAGAAAACATACTGCACTAAGACCACTGAGACTGATTGGAATTAAAATCCAGAGCTACCTTAAAATATTATGAAAAGCATGTTTGGAAAAAGCTGTCTCCAGAATATGGAGTAGATATGATCTGGGATGGTGTTGTTGCTGTTGTTAATTGAAATATAATTTATATATAACATTGTGTAAGTTTAAGGTATACAAAGACCTCGATATGATACATATATTGTGATATAATTACCACTGTAGCCTTAGCTAACACTTCTATCACGTTTTATAATTATCATTTCTTTTTTGTGGTGAGGACATGTAAGATCTAGTCGCTTTGCAGTTTTGAAGTATTTAATACAGTATTGTTGACTATATGACTATGCTGTGCATTAGATCCCCAGAACTTATTTATCAACTAGTTGCAAGTTTGTACTCTTTAACAGTATCTCTGCAATTTCTCTACTTCCCAGCCTGATAACCGCCATTCAACTCAGTTTCTGAGCTCAGCTTTTTTAGTTCCAAATATAAGTGATATCATACACTGTCTTTGTTTGGCTTATCTCACTTAGCATAATGCCCTCAAGGTCCACCCATGTTGTTGCAAATGGCAGGATTTCCTTCATTCTCATGACTGAATGATATTCCATCATATATATATCTATCACATTTTCCTTATCCATTCATCCATCAGTGGACACTTAAGCTGTTTCCATGGCTTGGCTATTGTGAATAATGCTGCAATGAACATGGGGGTACAGATATCTCTTTGAGATACTGATTTGGTTTCCTTCAGATATATGCCCAAATGTGGAATTGCTGGATCATATGGTGGT